TGCTTCTACAGTCTATTCCTGTGAATTATGCCAACTGCGTCAATGCACCTTTTCTCTATGTTGTTACTGGCCCTTTGTAAATGTTGTATGCCAGAAATTTTTGTCATACGTATATCGTTCCAACGCCACTTATTGTGTTTCAATTCACTGATCACTTTGCGCAGGAAAAAGAGGGTGCTGCCATTCAAAAATTTCGAAATTGTTTTACTGTATCCCTAAACATAAGAGTTCATTGTTTTAAATCATTCCAATCTCGAGCTCATATTTTTAAATAGCAGTATCTGAAATTTAATTTGTATTGGTTGAGGGGATAGACTGCTAGAGAATCATACATGGGAAAGTTTTTGATGACCGCTCTGTACATATATTAATTACATTGTCCATAGAAATATAATTATTAATTATTAATAATTACAAATGCGCCTTGGTTCGTACGAAACAGCACTCTCTCACAATCTAAAATAAACCCACGATTCTAATTCTAAAAGCTTCCAAACTTTTATGAAATGTGACAGTCATCGTAGAATATCATCAAAAAATGAAATTATGATTTCACAATTGACAACGCCACAAGAGGCCTGCGCTATTCACCATAATAGTCGTGGTATGTAGATTTTCGTTTTCTTCTTATTTAGCCAAGATTTTACTTTCATTTTCTTTACTTAGAATTGTACTTATCAATTACAATGCGCTATGGACTTTGTTCCTGCCAAAGCATAGACTTTGTGTGTAAATAGTTTTTACTCTTGTGAACGTTTCAAGGAGCAATTGTGTTGTTTCAATCATTTCATTGCTGAGAAGAATTTTATGAAATTTTAAAAATGCCTTACAACACATCCTGCAAGAGTGGCGCCACCAGCTCCATCAACTAAACTCTTTTTTTCAGCCTACTAATAATAGCGCCATACGAGCCCTCATTTGTTCAAAGTTTACTTATTCTTTCATTCGTCATCCTGACGCAGGAGTGGAGTTAAAGGTTTGATCATTCTACGAACGGCGGACAGGAGCCTCCGTCGCTATAATCTTCGAGTTCTAGCACAGTATGTGCACAGTACTTCAATATTATTGATACAACTTACTCGATTCTTCACGCATTAAAAGTCAAGTAATATAATTGGAAGGCCGTTATGGTCTTCCTCTTACAAGTGATAAACATAGACATATATGCTGATAAATGTGAATATTTGACGGCTATTTTTCTTCGAGAATTTACTTGAAGAAAGTAAAGGGTGGGGTTTGAGGAATAAGCAATTCAATTGCCCCTCTCCGATTCATAAATGTGGCGAATAATAATTCTAAATGTTAAACAACGTTTGTCCCTATGCTCGATTTCTTTGGTTTCGTCGTACAGCGTATGTAAGATGTTACTACGGAAACGATAGGTAAACGTAAAATTATACATATTATTTATAAACTATAAAAAAATAAAAATATACCATTTGCCACCAGTATTTCACACAACGAAATTGCTTAAGATAAATACGAGTATCGAAACGAAACGTGCAGTAGTCCGCTGTTCACGCCGCCCAATATTAAAAAACTGCCTTCTCTCAACGAAACGTTTAGAGATAAGCTTTTATTACCGTAAGAGAACCGGAACTTTCAAAGGGAGCTAAAGACAAAGAATATGAACTGTTAAGAACAAGGAGGTTAGAATACATGGAGATGGCGTCTCTGCTATTGCAGTACGAAGAAAGTGAAGCCAGGGGGAAGGAGCCATCATTTCACAACACTCCAACACCCTCCAGGTAATCTCCCAATTTACCTTTCGACCTTAGAACTCTGGCTCGGTCTGTATAAATCAAAATTCATGTCGCAAAATGTGCTGCCCACTATGTTCATCCGAAGAAAATCCCAAGTTTACCTATTAATGCTCTTCGGTGAACCCATTCCCTGGGTCTTACAATATCTAGGTGTTTTACTAGACTCAAAATTAACTTGGCAGCCTCACATCCGCAAAATCATAGAGGGTGCGACAGCTGTCAAAACCGCCCTACGCCCCCTTTTAGCTAGTGATAGCGACCTGTCAACTGATAACAAAATCATGCTCTACAAATCAATGATTAGGCCTGTTCTTACATATGCGTGTCTCGTCTGGGGCCCATCTGCACTGACTAACAGAAAACATGTCCAAATTTTTCAATCTAAAATGCTTCGGCAAATTTTAAAAGCTCCGTAGTTTTTACGGAACGAAGAGATTCATAATGACCTCAAAATTCTGCCCATTAATCACTATATACAACGACTTTCGGAAAAATTTTTCAAAATATTCAACGTGTTGCAAATCCTGTGCTTCATATGCTACCTGTAACGATCCTGCTATTGCTTCTTCTTCCCGAAAAGACCCAGAGCGGTTCTTAACAGGGAATATTCAGCTCTGCCATTTAAACGGGCTAGATATGAGCACACTGATAGCCACGTGAAATAACTACCTCTCGTTCCTTACCCCCCCCCCCGCCTCTAAGTTCTTTAATGCACACGGCATTAACTCGAGGAATCTCCTTTAACGTTCTTTAATAACAAACATCACAGTCAAATAGTAAATATTTAAAATACTTTAAAATTAATTTAGTCAAATAGTAAATATTTAATATTTAAATACTTTTAAATACTTAATTTAAAATACTTTAACTTATCAATTGAATTAAACTGTAAAAGATTTTTAAATTATAGCTTCTATCTTCCTTTAAAAAGGAACTTTCTTAGGCGCTTAACAGCGTCCTTTTTGGCCTTTAAAATACCGCATTGAATAGCGGTCAAAAATGAATCGTCTCCCTCCTAGCTGATCACTGGCAGAACGAGTTTTTCGACCTGTAAACAGGTTCCCCCCTCCCTCCCACCTCGAAGAACGCGCATCGGAATTCCCCTGCGTATTCTTCATCTGACGTATGCAAAACACGATTATCAAGGTTCAAGGAAACTTCACCTTTTATTTTTCAAGTCTAAATTTTATGGCTGTCCCTATCTAATTTATTCTGGCCCTTTTTCGGCGCAAAATTAAGACCTTCTGAGTTTTTTGCCTTTTATTGACTCAGTGTGAAGGCACTTATTCCAAGTCATTCCGCTTTTCAAAATTTTTACCCTATTTGACAATCTCCACTTTTTGATGATGTAATTTCCGTTGAAGATGTGAAGGTAAAGGCGTAATTGCCTATGAACTCCGTAACTTGCACTTCCTTGATCCTTGATCCAGGGGAAAGGAAATAAAGCACGCCACGTGAGGGCAAGAAAACGATTACCTTATTAAGCGACGTGAGGTAAAACCCCAGCTGGTTTCAAGTTCTCAGTGTGTTTTCTGATTTTGTATGCGTAGATGTGAAAGGCCTAAAAGGCACTGAATTGTTACACCAAAATAATGTCTACATTTCCGATTTCATGTCCATGTAAAAGAATGTTTTAAAACATGCATAAAAAAGTAGAATAATCGAAATGTCTGTTTGAATGTTCTTCAGGAAAGAGTTTGAGTATTTTCTTTGTGTAAAGTACACGAAGAAGCATATATAGTTCTCAGATTTACCTTTTCATAATAATAATAAAAGTGATATTCGTAATTAATTTATATGTGATGGCAAAACGATAAGTAAATAAGGGGAGGGGCTAACTCTTCACGGAAAAGAAAACAGTTTACTTTAATGTCTGATCATAATTACATTACAGGTCTTACCTCTTTTGTGTTTAACTACATTTTATTTTGTGCTCAAGTAAATATATAATAACTGGATTTGATTTTTAGTCACATTTGTTGTCTGAGTTTTAAAATAACAACATAAAATTTACGTTGTTTATTATTACTATTGTTTATTCAAATTAAGTTTTTTCAAAACATAAGTAATATTTATAACATGAAAAATTTGAGAATTATATATACTTAGAATAAGAAAATTATAATCAAATTATAGTTTGAGTACATAGTTACTGTTCTGTGTTCACAATACGTTTAATGCTAGCATTAATTAATTACAGGATGCAATTATATAATGTAAAAATTATTGCAATTACATAATGTAGAAACAAAAGGAAATGGCGAGAAAAGTAAAGACAAGAGAACGTGAAGAATCTGCAATCCTTTACGACTACCAGGAACAAAATTGGGTGTGGTTGGAGCACGTCAATCTTTCTAAGCCACGACTACTAAGGGCATGCTTTCCCCCTTTTTTGCCTTCACTTGGACTGCGTGGAGGGCATCTCCATGAGTTTTAACCTCCTGGCGTTTATCAAGAGTTTAAAGCTGTGTGACTCCCATTTTTTCCTCCATATTGACGGACATAAAATCTGGCATCAAACTGCGATATGGATAATACATGTTCAACAGCCAGTGAAAGTGAAACTTCACCTAATTTTCTTATTCATCTTAACCCGTGTTCCTCAACTTCCTGTACGTCTCGGCCAGGTCCGGTACATCACAGAGGGTGAAATTCTCGCCAACAGGTTCCGTAGCCAAACCCTTTGGCGAATTTTCCCTCTTCTTTCTAGCGGCGTCTATATCAAATTACAAAGCGCTATGGACTTTGTTCCTGCCAAAGCAGGTAGACTTTGCGTGTAGATAGTTTTTACACTTGCGAAACGTTTCAATGTACTGCAAATTGTGTTTTTTATCATTTTACTTATCAATTATTGCTTATCAGAAAAACAATTTTTATGAAATTTTAAAAATGCCTTACAATACATCCTGCAAGAGATGGCGCAACGAGAGCTCCAGTCAACGAAAATGCTTTTGATCCCTACTAATAGATAGCGCCTCATTTGTTCAAAGTTTACTTATTCTACGGACGGCGGCACGGAAGCCTCCGAGTTCTAGCACAGCATGTGTACAAGTACTTCCATATTATTGGATACAACTTACTCGATTCTTCAAGCATTTAAAAGTCAAGTATCATATATTGGGAAAGGCCGTTAATGTTCGATTGCGTCTTACTAAGTGATAAGACATAGACATATTAATTATTAATATATTAATTACATTATTCCATAGAAATATAATTATGAATATATTCATGACATTATTCCATAGAAATATAATTATACTTACACACACATATTCCATTGTATTCCTCAAAAGTCCTATAACATTGGCAAGTCTTTTTTCCATTTTCATCGAAAATACAGTCACCGTTTACTCCGCAGTCGCATGCTAAGAATATAAAATACTTTGAACGTCAAGATTAATAGATATATTCCAACAAAAATATTTGTCAATATTTTACTTTTAATTTTTTCACTTACACTTATTACGATATAAGGATTTAAATGGACTAAACTCTTAAGTGACAAAATAAAATTTAAACTAAATGTACACTTTGCACACACAAAAAAGACACAGTTCTATTTACTTTCTTTCATTATTGCTTGCGTTTCTGACATATAACTTTTTGTAAAAATTTCAGATCCTGATAGTCTTTCATTACACTCTCTGTATTTTAATGCATTATGATGCACAAACAATTCTAAAACTTTAACTGATATTTTCTTTATTTTTAACACCCCACTCATTATACCTATTAGTGCGATTATGTGCTCCCAATTTTTTTAGTAACTTCAGTTAGCTTTTCTTACAAATTTAATTTTGGTTTGTTATGTTCATAATTTTTATACAAATTTGCAAGAATAAGTTTAAGGGATATTTACACAACCAAATTGTAGACATATTTAAGAAACAAAATTGGCAATGATCCTTGTTTATTTTAAACACTTCCTCTGACTCAAATGAGGTGCTACATTTGATTATTTTTGCATTGATTATTGATACTGAGGATTTTATGATTTTGTCTGAACATTTTTCATAAATTTAGGATTCTGCGTTATCAACCAACATTTACTTACCAAGCGTTCCCTCCTTAAATCAGCACCAAAATAGTTTCAAAAATCCAGATTTCGCATACCCTTAAGCCACGCCTCATTTTGCTAGGAATCTGCCATTAGTAATCGCATAAAACTGTCTTCTAGCTAATAAATTGTGAATTCAGTGATCTGTCTTGTGCATACAAGCCAATTCACTTAGAAAGTCTCCACGAAAGCATCCCTCTTCTTAGGCAGACAGCTCTCGAGGCTTTGCCTTCGTCAAGTAAGCATGATCAGCCAGTATGAGCCTTAAAAAATGGGGGCGTGTCTTAAGAGAGTGCGAATCCTGTAAATTTGCTTCAAACAATTGTCCCAAAATAAGTGCTGCATATGTGGGAAGAAAAAATAAAAAAAAAAAAAAAAAAAAAACTGAGAATGACGCCAATCGTTATTTAAATGTTACGGTATTGGTAAATCAAATTGGTAAAATTGTTCTATTTTTGACCTGCATGCTACAAGATTTGACTGAATGTTAGTCTTACGTATTAGGTAAATCTGATATGTGTTTAAGATATCCCACTAAATTCGGCATCCGAAGTATCGTACAAAGAGATCTCTTATTGATGTTATTTAGCAGAATGCTTTCCTAAAATTACAGAAATAGGTGGTAAACATATTCTAGAACCGTAATTTTTGGTTTTTTGTTCACATTTTGGATTAAAATGTGTTAAAACGTCAAGATTAATAGATATATTCCAACAAAAAATATTTGTCAATATTTTACTTTTAATTTTTTCACTTACACTTATTACGATATAAGGATTTAAATGGACTAAACTCTTAAGTGACAAAATAAAATTTAAACTAAATGTACACTTTGCACACACAAAAAAGGGGACAGAACTGTTATAAACAAGCTGACACGTTCAGCGACACAGCTTTCACACTGTCAGGCAATAACGGGGAAGACAGCTTCACCGCAAAACACCCGAGTACAGCTCCCAACTCTGATTGGTCGTTCTCGGAACTCCACGTACTCTCCAGACTTTCCACGCCATGCACTCGACGATACACAGCAGTATAGCTCTTGACTCAGCACAGCCTAAGACAAAACTCGACGATGCACTAATTCGCGATGCACTAAAAGACTCTCTCGATGCACTCGATGACCAACTCAGCGCTAGACTTCGAGACACTCAATGACCGACTATCAACTCGCTAGACGAGGCACACACACTCACCGACTGCGGACCAGCAGGGTTTATATAGCTTTCGGCTTGTATTCGAGAACAATTCGGGCTAAACCGGTAAGAATTCGTTCCAGAAGGTTCTCCATTTGTCCATGGTATATCGCCAATTTTGTCGCCGAATGGGGGATTTCTCGCCAAATGTGGCAACCCTGCCGTATCTTGCCACGTTATGGCAGCCCTAAACTGCTTTGCAGGGAAGCTATCTCACCGCGCCTGTACATTTCATAACAATATATTAGATTTACATACAGCGTTGTTCTAACACAGGCATTTTGACTCAAAAGCAGACTTTTTCTGAAATGACATAGCCTTTTTTTTCATATTTCGATTCAATGACTCATATTGTGCCTATATATTACATTTTGTAAGTTTTGGTGAGAAATTTATGAAGAAATTTTAAAATTTATCTTCGCGCATTTTTTTAGTTTGCGCCAAGAATAATTCACTTAAATTATTCTTGGCAAACTCGAATTCAAAATGTTTTTCGAAAAATTAATAAAAACCATTTAAAAATACAAATTTAAAAAATAAATCATAAAAAAAGGGGTGAATTCTATTTGGAACGAACCTAAATTTCGAAATGTGAAACAAAGAATCAAATAGGTTTAATACAAAAAGGGGTATTAATAAATATATACCAAATTCAATTAATATTGATAAACTAAAATTTAGAGAGATAATTTCTTAAAAATTACTAGGTGCGATTTTAACAAAACTTGGCACAATTTAATATGTTATTTCAGAAAAAAAGGCCGATTTTGTGTCAAAATACCTATGTTAGAACAATGCTGCATATAAATCTAATATATATCCAAAATATACAAAAATCGCGCTTTCGAGACATGTGAAATGAAAATTAAATTATGACAACTGATCCAATAGAACGAGAAATATAAAATTGCCCCCCCCTTTTTTTTTCTTTTGAGCCCAAGTGTACATATTTGAGTATATGCATTAGCTACTAAGGCTGTTGTCACATATATCTGACGATTTTCATTGCATTTTCAGATAATATTTTACCTAAAATTTTTGTGTTTTATATATTACATTTGATTAACCTTATTCTTCCCTATCTTTCTACGTCATAATTTCCAAGACAATAAAACTTTTTTTTAGTACCGGAAGACGTATTTTATCCTCTTGAACAGCTTTCCAAAGTCGAAGGAGTTTTGTAGGTCGACGTTTAGACAATCCGCTTTTTAAAAGTCCAAATCTGCAAAAAACCGTGGATGATACGTCAGAGGTTTAGGAGGGATAATGAATGAAGACTTAGACAGTTCTATATTACCGAGCTATTGCAGGTGCAACGTTGCCGGTTCCTTAAATTAAGCTCAAGGGCACATGACATAATAAATTCAGGAAATGGAAAACATCTAGGATGAGAAAACGGAGAAAGAAAAAGTGAGAGGGGGTACCAAAAGGAAAAAGGCCAAAGGCATCTAGCAAGTGAACAGAACTTGACAAGATGAGGAAAATCCAAATGGATCCTTCACACTTCAGAGAAACGGAAAATGCAAAACAGTGTTCAAAATGCTATACAACAACAAAAGTTCAATACTACTATAAAACTACACAAATTCAACCCATATAACAGGAAAGTCAATACACAACGACTATTGCAACATCACACTGGCAATCTAAACACTTAGAATACAGCACTGTCTTTATCAGATAAAACGAAAGAAATTACCGCCTCTAATTGAGGAGCAAGAGAAGAAGCAGAAGTGTTATCCCATGAAGGCGTGAGCAGCAACTGGTCTTATGTTGCGGTCTTCATTGTGTATTTCGTAGTTGAAGACTTGGGAATAGTTCACATTGTCGCAGTGGACAGCTTTAGAGAAGAATTTCCAACTTGTTCTTTTAATAAATTCTGTGATGGTTTAAAGTAGGAGTGAAGGGTATCTCTTGGTACACTTGCTTCATTTTTTACAGGAATTAAACAGTGAATTTTGACGTGGGACTGCTTGCTTTGTTTTGATGCAGTTCTACGGTTGATGGCACGGTGGGTAAGAGAAGGTATTTCATATTCGAAAATTGGGTGTAAAAATACGTTCCTGATAAGAAGTGAAATTGACCTTAACACGAAGCACTCTTTAATTTCTCAAAAACCAACAACAATTATAAATTCCTCTGAAAACCTTTCTTTGAACATTGCTCTAAGATTTTTTTTATTTTCTTTGATGATAATAAACGGATCTCTTTTTAATGTGGTCATTTAAATATACTGTTATATATAATATATATCACGTTTTGTGACAACATTTTTCCATTTTTGTCCGAATGATTGTTTTTCATACAGAATTCTGCAGCGCGTTCTGCTTTCGGCAATATGTCGTAGAGAAAGACTATCCTCGCCATTTTAAGATTCAAATCAGCATTAATCACTTTGTTTATAGTTGAGACTAAGCAGTTTAATGATTATGCAACTGTCTTTGATTTCGAAGATTTTCATCTAACATTAAAGTTCTTATCTTTTCAACATTCGAAACATACTGTTTTATCCTTGGACATGTATTTTGAACAATTTTACTCATTGGAGTCAAACATTGGTGTTTTTTCCCTTCTTATTGACAATATTACCTATTGTTGCTTAGATTTCCTAGTGTTACCTATTGTTGCTTTAGATACTAAAAAATCATGGCTTTCTCAGCACTTTTCTATAACTAAATACGAATAATTTTCTTCGGAAAGAACTCATACATAGCCTTCCGTCCATTGCTTCTTTGAAAGCTCCATTTTGCATGAAAATAAAATTGTTGAGCAATAGACGATAACTTACACTTTCAAAAATATAGCTGCAGTTAAAAGCAGTTTTCAAAGCAGACGATTGTTTTATATTAAGGCAAAGTCGTCTAAAAAATTTGCGAATAACCTCTGTGATTTTTGATTTTTTTTTTTTTTTTTTTTTTTTTTCATTTAGAAAATTATCTGCAAACAATCGTAAGCTTTCATTCCCCTTAATTCATATTACTTCAAAGAATATTTATGGATTTTCAGAAAATTACTCTAGTAATGTTTCAGGCTTTCATTAACAGATTATTAGAAAGATTTTAAATCATTTTCTGAACATCATCAAAAGGGTTCAAATGAAATATTCTCATTT